CTTTAATTCATCTATAATATTAACCACCAACAAAGATCAAAACCTCACCCATCTCTCCCTCTCTCAGGTCCTGAAACTGAAGACTTTTGATACTCACTATAAATAAACTCACTTACTTTGTAATCTGTCTCTGAGTCGTTGTTCCTTTTAAAACTACCTAACTGTGACACATCCTCAGTTCATGATAGTGCTATAGACTATCTTACTTGTGTGTTGTTGAAGGGTCCAATAATGTGTGCCATGCTGACAGTGTTGATTATCATGCCAGTTTGGGAACAACTTTTGTCTATGTGATGCATAGGTTCCTCACCATTTAACAGTTTAAATACCATTTGGGATGTCCTTAGCCCAAAGGCACAAGTATCATCAGAGCTGAAATTAAAGTTTTATGTATGATAGCAGCTTTGTCCTGTTCTTCATATCCATGACAAAGATAATTGTTTGAGAAAAATACAGGTCCTAGGCATTAATGATGCACAAGATGAGAGCATATTGGTCATGTTCACATGCTTTGAATATCAACCCATTAAATGGCCATTGTTAACAGTTATCAATCCCATACATAGTCTGCAGACTGCTCCTCCTCTACCTCCTTGTAGGTTGACAAGCACTTACGTTTTTCTCTGGTTTTACAAATATTATGTAACATTTAGGGGCAAAAATGCTAATCAGTAAGCCAAATGATGATGACAAAATTGCAAATATTCCCACAGCAACAGTGAACTTCCCAGGAGAGCTGATATATGCTGGGATAAATGTGATCCATTCAGCACAGAATATCAACATGCTGAATGTAATAAATTAGCTTCATTGAAGTTATCTGGCAACTTCCTCGCTAGAAGTGCGAGGATCAAACATATTACTGCAAGGATGTAGCCCAGCACTGAGTAAAAGGCAACCTTGGATCCTGTGTTACATTCTAGAACTATCTTTTTGTTGCTGTATTTGAAAACCTTATCTGGGAATGGAGGGCTAAACTTCAGCCACAAAACACGTATCAGTATTTGAATCATAGTGCAGGAGCAAACAATGATCCTTTGCTGTGCAGGACCAAACTTTCCTGCTAGTTTGTTGCTCAGATGTGTGACTTTGAAAGCTGTGACAACAACAGTTGTTTTTCCCAAGTGGTCCTTGGCTCTTGGACAACTCTTCTGATAATTCTTTTCACTCCTCTGTCAGAAATCTTGTGAGGAGCACCTAGTCAGGGTCAGTTTATGGAGAAATGATGTTCTTTCCACTTCCGAATTATGGCCCCAACAGTGCTCACTGGAACCTTCAGAAGTTTAGACATTCTTCTGTAACCGATGCCATCATTATGCTTTGCAACAATAAGGTTGTAAATTAAGCTTTTACCCATCATCAGATGGTTCTTGTGTGATACCTGGCCATCATTTGGGACTGATATTAATT